TAATTACTGTTGGTTGGGCTGTTAGTTGTTGCTCTCTCTCTCTCTCTCTTTAGCTTTAGCCCCCACATGTAAAATAGATGTAGACAAAGGTCAGAGAGAATGACACAGTTTGGGGTCCAGAGGGATGGAGAATAATCTTGAGAGGAAAGGTGAAAAGAAGGGTGGCTTAGTGCCATCCCCTAAATCATGCAGAGAGTTCCATGAGAAGATTTCTGATACCATCTCTGCTTTCATTTTTACAGAGGAACAGGTAAGTAGACATTGATTTAAAGAATCAGAAAGTTGGAACTGGGCAAGGAGTTTTTAGCTTTCAAAATTATAAAGGAATGGCAAGGCAAGAGAAATACTGAATTGTCAAGTAGCATGTCCTAAATGATTGAGACATGCCACTGATGAAAAATGCAGAAATTAACTTTATACTCATATCGGTTGTTTCCGTGACTTTATTACCAGACATTCATTCTCTCTACTTTCTTCAACTATAAATAAACAAACAAACAAACACAAAAATGGATGGGCATCTTGCTTGGGAGATGTAGATAATCTCTAAAAGAGATGACGATGTTTAGACAGGATAAATTGCAGCATCATAGTTTGTCATTGTGATGAAAAATGGTTTGTAATTGTAGGAAAAAAGTGCATGATAGTAGATTAGAGTCCTAGAGAATAAAAGGTTACAAATAACCTCTTAGAACAGGATCAGTTTACCCAGAATTTACATATTGTTCAGATATCGCTTTTAAAATAAGACATTCTTCAGGGTTAGTCAGATGCTGTTCACAGAAAGTGGTGCTGGTCAGTTTGGGGCATAAAGTGATATAGAAGATTCTGACTTGGCTTCATGGTTTAACATAGGATTTCTTAACTTTGTCACTGCTGACCTTTAGGGCTGGGTGATTCCTACTTGTCACTATAACTTGAATTGGACTCAACGGGAATGGTTTTTAACCTTCTTTTTCTTCAGGAGGGTCATTAATACTTATTTGCAATGAGCCCTGGTGGTGCAATGATTAAGCGCTAACCAAGTGATTGGGTGTTTGAACCTGCTAGGCACTCCCTGGGGGAGAGAGGGGGCAGACCATTCTGTAAATATTACAGCTTTGAAGACCCTGTGGGGGCAGCCCTACTCTGCCTGATTGGAGTCCCTGTGAATCAGAACTCATCTGATGATGAGGAGGCAATGGAAAGGTGTGTGTTTCAGGATGCTGTTCTGTGCACTGCAGGATGCTTAGTAGCAGCATCCCTTCCTTCTATTTAGTAGATTTGAGTGGTATACTTCGAGCATGACAGCCACAAATGTCTCTAGACATTGCCAGATGACTTTGGGATTAAAACACCTTAGTTGAGAACGACAAGTTTAAAGATAGAGACTTAAAAGGACATAGTGTGTTTACATTGTGTTAACTGGTAAATTGAGACTATGTTCACTGATCTTCAACAGAAGGATGGGCTGTGTGTGTCTGGCCCCCAGCTCTGGTCATTACTACTCTACTTCTGGAAAGCAAGCCTTAGATCAGTGCTCACAGGTTATGTATTTAAGGATATTATTAATAATAATTCATGGTGGACTTGTTTTGTATGACGGTGACTTCAGTTTTTCAATATGGAGAAATCCCCCTTCAGATAAGCTATTCCGTCAAATATCTAAATAGACTTTATTGCTGATTTTACTACCATGGTGTTTCTGTTGAAGTAGCTTTTCAGGTGATATGTAATAGAAATGCTGACAATTAAAAAAATAATTAAATCATTAAAAAAATTATTATAGTGGGGCTCATACAGCTCTTATCACAATCCATACATACATCAATTGTGTAAAGCACACTTATACATTTGTTGCCCTCATCATTCTCA